CCCCAAAACCCCAAAACCCCGCTATCTAAAGTACCAATAAGATTTGATGGCTGGTAATAATTTAATCCTAATGTAATTAATATTATAAGGAAAGTTTATAAATTACAATATAAATGCAAGCCTAAAATTTAAGCAATAGCAGTTAAAATCATAATAAAGTAAAAACATGCGAGCTAAAGGCACTTGGGCTGCTAAGATCACTCGATTAATTTGGTGTGCCGATTTCTCTGACCTACAAGAATGAGCCAGTATTAAAATCACATGCTGGAGGAGTAGCAACTATTTTATCTAGAGTAATAGTACTAGCTTTTATGATTGTTTAAATTCAAGATGTCTATAACAGAGTCTGTACAATTTAAACTTCTATCTATAAGAGAGATCTAAATAGTGATTTTACTGAATTCAATCTAACTGAATAAATTTTTGATATTGGTCTCAAACTAGAATACATATTTTTCGAGAAAGATCCAACTATTTAAGCTAACTTAGATCAATATGTCTATTTGCAACTAAGCTAAAATGAATATCAATGGATTAAGAATTCTAAAGGATAGAGAGTCCAGATTAAGTATAAATAGAAAGTAGAGCTCACTAAATGCGAGCAGGGTTGATTAGATAATGATTTCAATAATACTGATTATTTAGGAATTTATGATAGTTTTCAATGTCCTGAGAGAGTTAATTTTTAAATTGGTGGGAGTTTCGCGGTTTAGAAATCTAAGTTTATATAAGTAGCTATAAGAGATTGTAATCAAACTTACTTGAACGAAAAATATAACAAAACAAAGTAATGTAAGTCCAAAGATGAAATATCTAAGGTAGCTTAATTTTTGAAATTGCACATCATTACTTAGAACTCGTATTTCGATGCTAAATCTTTCGAGACAATTTCAGTCAAGAAAAGTCTTGATTTGTTTTATTTAATGAGTATAAAGGACAAAAGTATTTACTACTACATGCTGCTAAGTTAGAATAAGATTTTAAGGAAAGATAATATGGTATATGGTCCTGATATAGAAGAAAAATTTATTGAGACTAAAATTGATCATAACATCGTTTAAGAACTAAATTCTACTGATCCCTATAATAATGCTTACATTGGAGTATATATAATGTTAAACGATGAGGTCAAGCAGATTGAGAGAAAAGTATTTAATGTATTAGATGCTCTAAAAAACACTGGAGGTTTCATGTCTGTTGTACTCATAATTTCTTACATTCTCGTATATAAAATCTAGGAGGCTATCTATTATAACACTCTTATAAGAAGTTTATATAGATACTAAAACATGTAATTAGACTATAAGTTTCAAAGAAAGAAAAATATTGAATTATCCCTTGCCTAGAGTCAATCTTAGAAAGATTAATTTGGAAAAAGAAAAGAGGTAGAGGATAAAAGACCTCTTCAAGAAAGGATTCTAGATCACCTTTGAGATAGATCTAAGCTAAACTTTACGGTAAAAAAGAATTTCAGGATGTATTTGAGGCAGTACGGTTTCTGCCGAACTAGGAATAGTAACTCAGCTTTTAAGGATAAACTTTATGAAAATGGATTAATGAAGGTACATAGAGAACTTGACATTAGAAATATCTCAAGGGAATTGAGAACATTGAAATTTATTACTAACACCATCCTAGATAAATACCAGAGGTATATGTTACCTCTATTCAGAGCAAACTTACTAAATAATTAGCCTAAGATGCTTAGCTTTGATATCGATGATAATGTGCTAGAAGAAAGTTTAGCCAACATAATTATACATGAAGATGTCAATAAGACATTTTGTAGTCATATAAAAGAATTCTAAAGAATATTTAATTAGATGACAAGGAATTCAGACTTTCAGAAGAGATAGTAATGAAGATGAGAAAACCTGCTACATTCGTTGAAAAAATGAGTCGAAGTATGAAATAGCACAGAGATTAAAATAATTTTCATAATAGTTAAGATAAAGATAATGAACTTGAAATAGAGTAGAACTTGAGCAATGAATCTGATGAAGAGTAGGATAAATCTCAATCTGTTCCAGAATAGAACAATAGAAAGAAGGAGCTCCTAATTGATGATGAGTAAGTCAATTTAGTCTATTAAATTTTTATTTAGTATTTTCCAGAAATATTAGCCTAATAAATCTGAAATCCATCAAGCAAAACCTGAAAATCAATAAAGGAGCTTTGATTGTTTGGAAAATTCTTAGAAGCAACTATTTCTACCTCTGCCAGAGTCTAAAGAAGATTAAAGTGAACCAATAGATCTTGAAAATATTTAAGTATAGATTCAACCACCAGATAATTAACTAAAAAAAGATAAGAAAACTATATAAAGTAACGTTTCAGAGATAAATTATTACGTTGAGGATGAGGAGGAGATACCAGCTCCTGCATTGGATTTTATAAAGTTTTGAGCTAGTGCTATTGATATGAAAAGATTTAATTTCAATTGATATTTATAAGTAATTACAGAAAATAATCATCGATCATTCTGTTGGGGTTTTGGGGTTTTGGGGTTTTGGGG